AGAGAGGAAGAGAGGAAGAGTAAGAGAGGGAGAGGGAGAGGAAGAGGAAGAGAGGAAGAGGAAGAGAGGAAGAGGGAGAGGAAGAGGAAGAGAGGAAGAGAGGAAGAGAGGAAGAGGAAGAGAGGGAGAGGAAGAGGAAGAGAGGAAGAGAGGAAGAGGAAGAGAGGAAGAGGAAGAGAGGAAGAGGGAGAGGAAGAGAGGAAGAGAACAAGAGAGGAAGAGAGGAAGAGAGGGAGAGGAAGAGGAAGAGGAAGAGGGAGGAAGGAAGGGGAAGGAAGAAGAAGGGGAAGGAAGAGGAAGAGGGGGGAGGGGGAGAGAGAAAGAGAGAGAGAGAGAGAGAGAGAGAGAGAGAGAGAGAGAGAGAGTGAGAGTGAGTTACTATGGTTGAGGGCCTTGGCACTGAGCTCCATCCCTAGCCCTTCTCATTTTGAGACAGGGCCGAGCTAAATTGTTGGAACCAGGGCACACTCAAACTTGTGATCCTCCTGCCTCAGTCTCCCTGAGTGCTGGACTTACAGGTGTGTACCACCATGCCCAGCTAAACATACAAAAGTCTGAAAAGAACTGCTGTGTGGCTATCTGTTCCTACTGCACAGCACTGGAAGTCACAGGAGCCCTTGGGGTCCCAGGGACCTTGGTGGGATGGACGTATGGTCCAAACTCAGCTCACGTTCCACAGCCAAGCTGCCCTAAGTCCAGCGGCACAGAAGCAGGGGACAGCCACCAAGGACAAGGGCTCGGCCTGCACTCTGGCAGGTACCCTCATGCTCAGGGGCCTTACCTGGGCCTGGCTGCAGAAGGCCAACTTCAGGCGCAAAATGCAAAGAGCACGTGCAGGCAGCTGCGGGTGTGCCCTCCCGTAACCGCACCTCTCCTCCCCTTCCGGGGCTCTCCAGAGTTGGACCAGGAGGCAGAGCAGGGGCACAAGGCAGGGCGGGCAGCGCAGAGAGCTGCCAAGGCCACACAATGTCCAGATTGTAAATACGTGCTAAAAACCTTAAGGACTCCATTTACTTTCCTGCCAGGTGTGGTGGCACAGGCCTGCAGTCCTAGCCCTCGGGAGACTGGGGCGGGACTGCTGTGAGTTCCAGGCCAGCCTGGTCTACATAACAAGACCCGGTCTCAAAAACAGCTGCCTTGGGGCTGGGGAGATGGCTCAGTAGAATAAGCGCTTCCCTGGCAAGCGCAAGAGTCAGTTCAATCCCCGGTTCCGCAAAAAAAAAAAAAAAAAAAAAACAGCTGCCTAGCAAGACCCTGTCTAAATTAATGAATCAAAAAATGAAAGATAAAAAGTAAAAACTTTTTAAAAAGCATACCACAGGGTTCAGCTTGGAAACCAAGAACTCAAAAAGAGACTGAACTGAATCTTTCACATGTGAACTTTATAGCATATCGACTATATTTCTTTTTCTTTCTTTTTTTTTTTTGGCGGAACCAGAGATTGAACTCAGATCCTTGCGTTTGCCAGTCAAGCGCTGATCCTACTGAGCCATCTCCCCGGCCTCTCGACTATATTTCTATTTATTTATTTACTTAGTATTATTATTTTTTTTTTGGCAGAACCGAGGATTGAACGCAGGCCCTTGGGCTTGCCAGGGAAGCGCTTACTCCACTGAGCCATCTCCACAGCTCCTCAATTTATTTTTTT